ATTTTTATGTCCAAACGCCTACTTAATTTCCTGTAGTAAACTAATGAAGTTTTAAAATTTTTTTGGTTATGAATTAGGACTCTTTTGTCTGCATTGTGACAAGTTACTGTGAAGGTGGAGACATGTAAGTCTACCAAACATGGCTTTGTAAATTAGAATATTTTTTTTTCTTTATATTCTTTTGTTGATAGATCTTATTGTACTTATTTTCAGGACTGAAATTATTAGAAAAGCCAGAGGAACCATTTTCCCTGAAGAGGTAATTGAAAATGAGATTTTACAATTATAGTAGGTAAAAATTAGTTGTTTTAATATGACAAAATAATTGTGACACTACTATTACCATAGATAAAATTCACTAATCACACTTAAATTAACCCTTGAATTAATTAACTCACGCTTATTTTGTTCTTCCCATAGAAACTTTGCAAATGGTTGACTCAGTTGTTGCTGGCTCTTGATTACCTTCACTCCAATCGTGTTCTTCACAGAGATCTCAAAGTATGAATTTTATTATGATTATTTTTTTTTTGTAAATTTTGGTACCTATATTGTTCGTCCCAACTTTTTTGGAACTGAGACGTAGTTATTGTTGTTGTTTATGTTGTCATGATCATCACATTAGAATTAACAGTTTGATTTGGTTTGCTCCAGTGCTCTAACATTTTCCTTACCAAAGACGATGAAATCAGACTTGGTAAGAAGAATTAAACAGACTTTTTTAGTATTTATCTTATGTTAGAAGCCTACATTTTTCTTATTCTTTATGAGATTTATGTCTACAGGTGATTTTGGATTAGCCAAATTGCTGAATAAAGATGATCTTGCCTCGTCGGTAATGAACCTCCCCCCCCCCCCCNGGGAAAGGCCGGACCACAATGGTCTATTATACGCAACCTTACCTTGTATTTCTATAAGAGGCGGCTCGAAGCCGTAACCTCTCGTTCTCTAGTAATAATGTTATTTTGTTCTGTGGCTCCATTGTTTCCAAATTAGTATAACTTTTATCATCTGTTGGTCTTTATATACCACCATAAGATATAGAAAGTTTCTGTATATTTTATTTTTATTTTGTATAATACTGACATGACATAAACTAAAACGGAGTTATATGATCAGTGTGAATTCATATAGTCACTCCAGACTTGGTCGATGGGAATTCATATAGTTCTTATTGATGTATTGGCATTTTAAAATGTACCACATTTTAGCCTTTCTACAGCTAGTGCATCTTCAAAAAATAAGGCAGCCCGGTGCACGAAGCATTCTATAGGGTCGGGGAAAGATCCTCACCCCAAAAGGTGTGACATAGACATCCTATCTTAATGCAGATATCAGTGGCTGATTTTAGAGTTCGAACGCGTGACGTATAAGTCACACAAAGGAAATATTATTGTTGCTCCAAAACTCCCCTTATGATGAGCGACCAACATAACGGATGAACCAGATAAATAGAGGGATGCAAGAAAACTTAAATTTCATCTAATATAGCTAATTGAGAACTGGAGCACCTTGAGTGGTACTAATCTTATTATGATTCTTGAATTTTTCTATAGATTGTGGGAACTCCAACATATATGTGCCCTGAGCTTCTAGCAGATATACCCTATGGATACAAATCAGACATATGGTCTCTAGGTAAATAATCATCACATTATACCTATGTTGCTCAGGCTCTTCAAAAATACCGTTGGGTGTGTGTCAGATCCTCTAAAAGTGGGATCCGACACAGGTACGATATCATTTTTTAGAGTGTTCGAGCAACATAGCATTATACTATTTTAACTTCTTTTTTTACCCTGAATTGCTTGTCCAGGTTGTTGTATGTTTGAAATTGCTGCACATATGCCTGCATTTCGAGCTCCAGTAAGTTACATAAGAACCTATATATCTTCTGCAATTTCCCTTCTACTCATTGAAAGAACAGGATTTAATTTGAAGTTAACCAAACAGGATATGACTGGACTGATCAACAAAATAAACAGATCAACAGTCTCTCCACTTCCAACCATGTATTCCTCCACATTGTAAGGCAATACACCGATAGATTTCTCATTTTCACGATACGTTAAGTTTTAGACTAATTCATCAGCTTCTTGTACTGATTTGTTCGTTCCAGGAAACGATTGATCAAAAGTATGCTAAGAAAAAGCCCCGAGCACAGACCTACGGTCAGTTTAACACATTCGCATTTTGTTGTATCCCAGAATAACGTTGCATATACATATATAACTGATTTTTAATTCTTTTTATGTCGAATAAATTCAGGCTGCAGAGTTGTTGAGGCATCCACATTTACAACCATACCTTGCTAAATGCCGGAACTTGCCACCAGCATTTGTATCAGTAGTTTCTGACAAAGAAGCAAAACATACTAATGAGTCAATTTCCAAGCCTACATTAAGAAAAGATCAAAGGCTTCCGAAGGAAATTAGACAAGCCAAAAAACAAGACAAGATTGTTGCAGTTGAAGAACTTCATGAACTCAAAGGCGAAGCGCCTAACACGTGTAAAATCAAGAAAATTAACCTTCAGAGCAAGAAAGTAGAAAATCCGGAGAATGAAAGACGCCAAAGCATATCCGTCAAAAAAAGTGGAAGTACTAATTCAAGAAGCTCCACAAGAAGTACTTTGACTGATCAACATGAAGGTGATACGAAAGAATTCGTAGCTGAGGTTTATAACACAACTGAGGGAAATGCAGGAACAGATCAAGAAAAGCATAAACCGACTGATCATAGGCCTATCGAGGGCAAGAAAGATGCAAAATCTCAACCAGAAGAGCAAAATAAATGCACATTGAAGAAACCAGGAATACCAAAACCATATAATGAAGTTGCAGCAAAAGCCATTGATCATCTAAGTACTAATCGGGATGCAGAAAAACACGATGGTCATAAACGTGTAGCGAGTGAGACTTCAGTAATGGCTACACTGAATTTGTTACAAGGGAAGAACAATGTTGGAATTAGTATGAGCAATGAAAGGGCAGAAGCACTAGAGTCATTACTTGAATTTTGTGCAGAGTTACTTAAGCATGATAAGATAGAGGAATTAGCTGGTGTGCTAAAACCATTTGGAGAAGAAGCTGTTTCTTCTAGAGAAACTGCAATTTGGTTGACAAAAGGATTAATGAATCTTCAAAACCAAGGTGAGGAAACTGAGAGTGCATAGGTTTCTTGAAAAATTTCTTGTAAAATGTAAGCATTTGATTCTTATTTTTGAATTGATCTTGAATTAATGCTTGTAGATAAATGCTTCAAAAGAGAAGAAGAGAACAAGGTAGCTCTGTGCTTATAATAGAAGTAAATGTGTAATAAACAATAAACAAACATGTAGCATGTTTGGTCAGGCTTTTAAAATTAGCTTATTTTGAAAACAAACAACAACAAAAAGCTCACCGAAATCCCACAAGTGAGGAGGTTGAAGTGTACACAACCCTTACCCCTACCTAATGAAGGTAGAGAGGCTATTTCCGAGAGACTCTCGAAGTAAAAATGAAGTAATAAACGGACAGTAGCAACAACCAGGTAAGTAGACATGGGAACAAATAAAGATACGTGCAACAACAGATATCTAAGAATACAACACTATAAAACTAGATTCAGTCTTGCCGGAAATAATGACACTTATTTTAAAAAGTGATTTTCAAAAAAGTACTTTTGGTGAAAAGCAATTTGTGTTTAGCTAATCAATTTGAAAAACACATTTGAGCAGCAATTAGTGTTTGATTAAACTTTTAAAAACTGCTTCTAAGTGTATTTTTCTCAAAAGCAGAGAAATTACTTTTTCTACTAAAACAGTGCTTCTACTTCTATTCAAAAATACTTTTTTCCTGCCCAAAAGAATAAAGAAGAAATGTTATAATCATGTGGCACTGAACATGTCATGTCATTGTACAAGAATAATTTTACATCATATGGAACGGTTCTGTTTTGGCGTGTAAATAGAAACAGAAAATGTTACTTGGTCGTCTCCTTTCCTTTTCAAAGACAGGTATTGCAGAAATAGAAAAAGAAGAAAATGTTAGACATTGAGAATAAAACAAGACGTGTAGACCTAAATCCATGTTGAACCTTTTTTGAGCTTTTAGGACATTTTCTGAACCTTTTTTGCACCCTTTATCTATATATATATATATATATATGGTAGTACTGAAGAATATTAAGCTTGAAAAATACTACTATGATCAGATTCAAACCGGCCGCGAAGTCTAGGGATCTCTATACCAGTGGCCGATATTGACGCTGCGAAGTAGAACTGATCTCTTTCTATCTCAGTTGCGAGCTTATTTTGCTGATTCAGAAGCCAATCAAATCAGGCTTCAGGCAACGGATATGGGCGAAAGCAGTCCAAGATCTGAATTTTATGGCTTCGAGTTTAGAATTCTATCTCAGCTCATTTTGAGTTTATGAGTTCTGAATTCTAAAAAAGGCCGTATTCTGAATAAATTATATGTATATATTAGGTGGATTTTGGCTAAAGTTACGGGGTTCTACTGAAGCTGTAACTTGAATCTAGCTCCGCTCCTGTATAAGATTGACTAGTTATTGTTTTTCTTTGCATCTCAAAGACAGCCGAGAATTGTGTTGGTGCAATTATAAGTAATTACAGTTGAAAAATAAGATGAAGAAAAATAAAAAAATATTCTTCAGGCTGAGGCGCAGATATCTCGCTCTCTTTAAGGAGATTCAAGTCTACTGCGATAGCATTCACCAGTCCAACGGTAATACTCTTGACTTGTCCCCTCCAGGATACAACAGCCCGACAATGTCGTATGACTCGAAGAACAAGGAAATAAGACAACAGAAGTAAATGGCACATCGTGTAATAACAAAGATCTAGAAATACGAAGCTATAAAAATAGTGCAAAACTACAGTAAATCATAACATTAGTGGTTTCAAGAGTTACAGGTAAATTATAACATTAGTGATTTCAAGAGTTACATCAAAATAATGTCCACTTTTTTTCGAAGTGATAACCTGAAGCAGATAGAAAGAGAGCTTAATTGCTGCTAGGAATTAATGTTGTTAATACCATATGGAACAATCTTAAGAATACAAGAGAACAATTACAACCCCATAGTAGATAGATCTCTTGACTTAAAAAAAAAAAATTGTCATCTAGTGGAATAAATTACAAAACCTCTCATCATCCGGTGAAAAAAACAGAAAAACTCTGGCGAATACTAAATATTGGAAACACACAAAGATGAATCCAGAATTTAAACTTTATTCATTCGAGTTCAGAATTCTACCACATTCTATTTGATTTACTAAGTTTATCTTCATTGTAGTTATGCCCTTATTTTTTAAGGTGTGCATTCCGTGATGTAAATCTAAATCGCAAGTGATGAGAATCCAATCTTTATCTTCATCTTCGTACATGATAGAAAAACTTACAATTTGTATTCCAAATCTCGTCTCAACTTCTGCTTCCAAATCATTTTTCCCTGATGAAAGAATGAGTGGAAACCTCACCTTCACACCATTGTAAGACACCTTTATGCTCATGGTGTTGTCACTCTGAAATGTAGCCATACTTTCCACCACCCTTTGAGTTGTATGTGGCTGCACTTTCAATTTACATGACCACTTGGCTATGCCATTGGCTCTACAGCAGCGCTTAAATGTACTTGGACTAACTGCAAGAAAACAAAAGATTAACAACAACAACATGCCTAGTATAATCCCACATAGTGGGGTCTGAGGAGAACAATGTGTACGCAGACCTTACCCCTATCTTGTGGAGGTAGAGAGGCTGTTTCCAATAGACCTTCGGCTCAGGAAAGCATAGGTACCATAATAATACAAGAAAACAAGACGGGACAACACCGAGAAACCATGTAAATGCAACATACATAAAAAGATAGTAAGATGATCGAAATGCAAAAAACGATAGGCATTCAAAGAAACTTGAGGTGCTAGCTTTCAGAAATCTTCTTTGGTTTGGATTATGTTTACAGAGTATATGTTGGATGTCAACAAAGTACGACATGGAAAGTAGAAAGGAAAATAAGCTACTTATAAGCAGTTATTACTCTTAATGTTGTGAGATCTTTTAGGAAAAAATGCGCGGGTTTGGTCAAAAGCAAACAATATCACACCATATTAACATTATCTTTGGATTGTTTTAGCACAACAGTATAATGAAACAACAACAACAACAACAACAACAAATCCAGTGAAATCTCACACTTTGGGTCTGGGAAGGGTAATGTGTATGCATAACTTAACCCTATCTTATGAAGGAAGAGAGGTTGTTTCCGATAGACCTTCGGCTCAAGAACAGTGAAAAAGACACAATAAACAAACAACAACAACTACACATTAAAATCCCATAAAGTGGGATTTGGGAAGGGTATGTGTACGCATACCTTACCCCTACTCCAATAGGGCAGAGAGGCAAAACAAACAATAACAGCATCAAGGAAATAAGACAACGGAAGTAAATGGCACAACGTGTAATAATAAAGATTTAGGAATACGAAGCTATAAGAATAGTGCGAAAACTACCGGTAATAGTAACACATCGTGTAACAAGAAGTAATTAGTTATAGGAGAATACAATAGTAGTACTAATCACTATAATGAAACAATATTGTAAGTGATAGGGCCGGCTGGCTTACCTCCTAAACTTTCTGCAGCATCACTACGTTTCTTTCCAAATTGTTGTTGTAAATCACTAAGAGTAATTCTGCAATAATCTTTTTCTTTACTCTTGCTAGCTCTCTGCCGTGAATAATTCCGGTGTAGTACTGTAGTTTCATTGACATGCACAGATTGCATTTGTTTGTCCTGCAGTGGCGGCTCTGTAGTAATTTCTCCTCTCTTCTCTGAATGTAGTAAGACTGATGAAGTCAAAGGAACGTCAATACCAACTAGTATTTGATTATTCAGGCCCATTTCGGAGGGAAAACAATCTTCTTGAAGAGAAGTATTAATAATATCTGCAAACAAGTTTTGATCTGAATCAGCATCAAAAGCTGCAAATGAGTCTGGATCGGGATTGGCAAATAAACTATCGGTAAGATAGTGGTAACATAAGACCAGACAAGACAAAAGAATGGCCCTGGACTGGGTTAGTTGAAACCCAGCTCCAGCGTCCATTCCCACCGCAGGTGCCGGTGACGGAGAAAAGTCACTCTCTTCAGCTGTGATTTTGGCCGCTGCTACATACGCCACTGTTAACATGGTGAAAATACTCAAGATTACCAGTACTGTTCCCATCCCCTAATCCCTATGAGTTGTTTTTCTTGATACAGCGGAAAAATATGAAAGGGAACTACTCAACCACACGTTTGATTGCTACAGAAAAAATTCAAATGTATTTATGTAAGAAAATAATAATAAGAACTTATCCAAGTTTCAATGACGTAAGGATCAAATCCGCAATAATAGACTTTTTCTCCTCTTGCATTCCATTAATGCCTATTTTGCCTGGGTATTCTGTACAACACGGTATTTTAACATTTCGATTCGGTATTAATTTCTTAAAATGCTATATTATTACCGTATCTAATTAAATTCGGTATGGTTCGATTTTTCTCCTTTTGATTTAGGTTTATTTGGTTTGGTCTATTCTGTTTGAATACTAACTGGTGCATATAACCATAGACTGTAATATTCTTAATTAAAATATTCAAAAGTACAAAACTAAGTGGGCGTTTGGACATAAGAATTGTAAAATTCCAAAAAAAGTAAAATAAAATTTCAAGTGAAAATGATATTTGAAAATTGGAGTTGTGTTTGGACATAAATATAATTTTGGGTTGTTTTTTTTTTTTTTTTTTTGTAACTAACTTATTTTATTAATCACCAAGTAGAATTTACAAAACCATAGCAAAGCTAACATAGCTTGTTGTCAATCTATGGACACTTCATACTCTACTTCCTAGAAACATAAGTTATACACAAAAGACTTGTTCTTAGGGGTAACTCGAACACTAACAACATAAGCTATTTCCTTCGCAATCTGCTTCTAGATTCTATTTTTTTGTTAAAAAAATATGCATGTTCCTTTTAATCCAAACTTGATAAGCAACTTCCGCATAGACAACTTTGAAGATCCGTGCATGTTGTGTTTTCCCTTTAGCACACATTACTGCCCATTGTATAAACTGTTAATCCCAGGTACTGCTTTTGCATCCAGTTGCACAGTTTACTCCAGATTTGCTTAGTATATTCACATTGCATGAATAAATGATCTCTGGTTTTCACTTGTCTTCTGAACATCACACACTGTGTGTCAATATTCATCTTCCATTTGCTCAATCTGTCACATGTCATCAATCTTCCATGCATCATAAGCCACATTGTGAATTTTGCTTTTGGCCTTGCTGCATTATCAAACATCAAACTTTTCCATTCCACCCTATTGTAATCACCAAGCAAGTGTAGGTAGATTTGTCTGATCAAGTTTCTTTTGTGATGTTGTTCGAATTGTCTAGCAGCCAGTATCTCCTTTGCCTCTATTACTTTCCTCACCATCCAGCAAGCTTCTTATGGTATTGCCATTGTGTTCATCTGCTGGTTTTTAATATAATATGTATGAATTCATCAAATCCATAGCTTGTATTGTTTATGTGCTAAGTCACAACAAACCTTAGCAATGGCTGCTTTATTCCATATCTTCAGATTGGTGATATTAAGACCACCTCCAGCTTTAGGCAGACATACTCTGTCCCAGGCCAATAAAGCCTTCTTTGTGATTTCATTTGTTCCCGACCATACATATGATATGCATAGACCCTCCACAATCTTGATCACTTTTATTGGAAATATAAACAACTGTGCCTACAAAGCCTGTATGCCAAACAACACACTTTGAACTAACTGTACTCTCCTAGCATAAGACAAGGTCTTTGCAATCCATGAAGTAATATTTGCAGTCATTTTGTCAATGAGGGGCCATTGGAATACACTTAGTTTCTTAGTAGACAAAGGCACACCTAGATATTTGAAGGGTAGTGTTCCAGCAGAAAGGCCCAAAAACTGAAGGATTTGCTATCTATTTTCTGTAGGAACCCCTCTAAAATATGCTTCACTCTTGTTGAGATTTGCTTGGAGCCCAGAAACTTGAGTGAACTGATAAAACTTCTGTTGCATTGCTTGAATTGACTTCAGATCTCCTCTGGCAAATAACAACAAGTCATCAGTAAAACTTAGGTGAGTGATCCCTAGTTTGGCACATCTAGGGTGATATTTAAACTCTTTCACCATCTTGAGGTTAGCCAGGTTCCTACTCAAGTACTCCATTGCTATGGCAAACAAAAAAGGTGACATTGGATCACCCTGTCTCAATCCCTTAGCAGCATTGAATGGCTTTGTTGGCTTACCATTAATAATAATAATAATAGAATAGTTAACTGTCTGGATGCACTCCATAACCCAAGATGTGAATAATTGAGGGAATCCCAATTCTTCCATAACTTGTTTCATATATGGCCATTCTACAGAATCATAAGCTTTCTGCAAATCTATCTTTATCATACATCTAGGAGAAATGTTCTTCCTAGAGTAAGCCTGCACCAACTCATGTGCTAGAAGTATGTTATCTGCAAGCTTTCTCCCAGGTATAAACCCTGCTTGAGCTTCATTGATGATTGTACTAATGATGGCTTGTATCCTTGTTGCCAGAATCGTGGAGATCATTTTGTATATCACAATGCAACAGGCGATAGGTCTGAACTCTTTTACAGTTTTAGGCTTATTAACCTTAGGAACCAAGGTGATGGTTGTGCAGTTTATAGCTCTATACAATTTTCCAGTAGAAAAAAAATTCAGTACAGATTCAGTGACTTCATCTTTGATAATTGGCCAAGATTTCTTAAAGAAGCATGTATTATATCCATCAACACCAGGTGCCTTGTCATCACCAATAGAACACAGCCCTACATAAATTTCTTCTAGAGTCACATCCTTACAGAGATCAATCCTTTGCTATTGATTAAGTTTAGGTCCCTTGTGCAACACCATTTTATCAATAGCAGGAAGTGATTGAGCAGCAGTACCCATTAGTGACTTATAGAATTCTACTATCTCCCTTTTGATGCTTTCTGAGTCAATTAGTCTATTACAATCGATAGAATTAAGCTCTAGTATTTGCTTCCTTTGGCTCCTTTCTTTCATGATAGCTGAGAAGTACTTTGTATTGGAATCACCTAACTTTATCCACTTTACTCTGGCTTTTTGTTTCAAATCTCCTTCTTCAATCAGATCCTATTTTTCCAGATTTTGAACCAGCTCATTCTCCTTCAGCAATAGCTCCTCAGAACAGTTTGTATCAATCTTTCTTTGAACCTTTTCAAGTTCAATTCTAGCCATCTTGTTAGTTTGTATGAGTCCATCATACAGTAGAGTACCTGGTCCTCTATGAGGTTAAGCCGAAAATGCTAATAAAACTATAAGTAAAGAAGACAAGGGATTTTTACGTGGAAAAATCCCACACAAGGGGATCAAAAAAACCACGACCTATACTTGTAGGCTTTTAACTTCACTAACTTGCAATCTCACTATTACAAACTACTTTGTAATAACTCTATTACAAAGACTTCAACTAACTTGTGATGCTCTCACCACAAGCCACTTTGTGACTCTTCTAGTTACAAAGACTTTAAACTTATGACTAATCCTAGTCACAACATAAACTTAGAAGTTTACAGATTTTTGGTTTTCCTAAGACAAAGCTTCTAAGAAATCTAAATAGGAGATACAATTAAGAACAAGTAACAAGATTACAACTCAACTACGGATATACATAAACTCATTATGAAACTGATCCTTAGTGGAGTTGTCTTCTTGTTCTTGACACACCAGTGACTTCAATGCCGAATGAACATTGTTATGCTTGAGAGAATATCACTGAATGCACAAGTGAAGTGTTGTGCCTTGCACCAGGTTGTTATATCACAAAAGACATCATAATGGATAGTGATGTCAATTCTTGGTACACGCTTCTTCCCAATGAGAAGTGATTGCTGCATTGTCTGCTGCACAGTCACTTTTGTGCAATTGCGTTCCATATGTAAAGTTGACTTGTACTTCTGTCAGAGAACACTAAGGGACCAGGTCCCAGTTGTGTTCCTCTTTTGTAACAGTTGCGAGATAGTCACTTTCTGCTGTTACATTCCAGCTGTACAGTTGACTTGTACTTCTGTCAGAGAACCCTAAGGGACCCGGTCCCTGTTGTGTTCCTCTTTGTGATAGCTGCAGACAGTCACTGACTTGTACTTCTATCAGAGAACCCTAAGAGACCAGGTGACCAGGTCCCTGTTATGTTCCTCCTTGTGGTTGTTCATTCATTTGCTGGAGATCAGACTGGACATTATTCATTTGAAATATATACCATGTGGGTCAGGTTTACTATCTGGTTCTTCACAATAAGTTTGTTAGATCATCAAAACATAAGAAACATAAGACAAAGACATTGAAAACCCATCACATCTCTATCTTCTGTCTAATGAACTTTAACTCCTCAACATTAAGCTTCCTCAGTACTAGTCTTAATGTTTTGAGTTTCAATCAAACATCCTGCATATTCTTCCTGTGAACTCTTTGTTGCCATACTTGCTGAACATCAGTTAGGAATCTCTTATGATCAGCCCAGACATTGAAGAATTTGAATGAGGACTTCTTGCTACTTTGATTATCAGTAAAAGTTAAGCTCATAGGTGCATGGTCAGAAATGAAAGGCATCTCATATACAGTAGAAATATGCCCCATTGCATTATCCATTCATAATTACCAAATATCCTTTCAATTCTGCTCCATATCCTGTCACAACCATCTTGTTTATTAGACCATGTATAGTAATCACCTTCTCAAGCCAGTTCACTAAGTCTTAAGTCTTGTATACACTTGCTGAAGTCTTGAGTTTCAGCCATGGTAATTGGTTTCCATGCATCCTATCTTGCAATTGTAGGACATCATTAATACAAGCATTAGTTATACACCCATTATATAATAATATATAATAATAACTTAACCAAGTTCCATTGACGTAAGGATTAAATCCCCAACAACAGACTTTTTCTCCTCTTACATTCCATTTATGCCTATTTTGCCGTAGGGGTATTCGTCGATCGGTATGATTTGGTATTTTCGGTATTCGGTTTTTTAAAATGCTATATCATTATCATAACGGAAGAGGGTCACCCGAACCCCTTTCGCCGGAAATTACACTGTACATATAATGCAAAATATATTATGTACCTCTATATATTATATTTTGAATCCCCTTGACACAACTAAAAAGTATAGCTTAGTGGTCAAAGGGTTGAAAACCTTTGTAAAGTCACTAGTTCAATTCCCTCTAGCCACAAACTCTTC